GGCACTGAATGCACTTTCTTATTGTGTCTTCAAAATATAAAGATGGAAACAGTATGGTGACTATGACACCTGGGTCTGGGGTTATTTAAAAACACCCCTTTCTTTAAGACAAGACGTAACTGTCACCCTTTGGTTGTTAAGTGGGAACAGATTTCATTATGCAACAGGCTGAATTTCATTTATACCTACAAGTGCCATCTGGGCTAGAAAAGCAATTTGCCCCGTATGGTTAAAAGAGTTGGTCCTGCCATCTGCCCACCTTTGGGTTGCCTTTAAGCCAAAATTCACACCCAGCATGTAGCACAGGACAGACTAGGAGTTCATCCACCCATAACATGGGGGCTCTCACTGAGCATTTTGTGCAGCCAGAAATCTGCCTTTAGTCACTGCTATCTGGTGAACGGGGTGATTACACACCTCTGCAAGCCACCTTCTAATGGTTTGCAGACAGGATGTTTAGAACAGGTCATGAGACTTTGTGCTAATGCTCTCATCAGTTCACATCACACAGTCTTAAAATGTCTGGAATATTCCACCAGAATATGGGTGAAAATGAGATCACTGGGTTTTGGGGGTTTGACATCACTGTCTTGTGTTAGAGCCTCAACTTCCTTTTTTCTTTTCTTCTCTCTAAATCTTTATTACAGCACCTCAAGTACTTGTATCAGGGAATATAAGTATTCAAATGTAAAGATTTGTTATGATTATGTAATACCCACAGCTATGTGCCTTCAGATGATTTGTACACATTGCAGATTTGCATTTTTACAAACTTTGACATGTTTAGCATCTCATGAGTGAATAATGTACTGTTTAAGGAACAGATTGTGTTTGATTTGTATATAATTTGACTTATTAAGCAAATTCCTGGATCTTATTTGTTGCTCATGAAAACACGAAGTGGATTTATTTCTTTTGTCCACAAATTTTGTCCCTATGTATAGTCAGAGATAATAAAAGAGTTTTTGAAAACTGGTTTTGTGATTGTACTGCGTTAAAATTCTAGTTCTACTGTTCCCTCCTGCACAGACCCTACCTTCACTTTGTGGTTTGACAAAAGGATTAGGTCAATCAATGACTTGTACATAGAAGACATATTTGCATCCTTTTCTCAATTATCACAAACTTACGATCTACCTAAGAGCCATTTTTTCCGTTATCTACAAGTTAGGAGCTTTGTACAAAAAACATTTCATTTCCAAATAAGCCCACTAAAAAAAAATGTTGACCATATTCTTAGACTGAGCTGACCATATTCTTAGACTGAGCTTGGACTGCAAAGGACTGACATCCCAGATCTATGAGCTTATTTACACATTACAACTGGGGTGGCAGTAGCTCAGTCCATAGGGACTTGGCTTGGGAACCAGAGGGTCGCCAGTTCAAGTCCCTGCCCAGACCAAAATATGGCACATGGACTGGTAGCTGGAGAGGTGCCAGTTCACCTCCTGGGCACCTCCGAGGTGCCCTTGAGCAAGGGGTGCCTGTCCATGGGCAGCCCCCTCACTCTGACATCATCAACAACTTTGATGTTTTTGAATATGAAGTGTAGAATGTCAGGGCCTGTATTCACAAAGAATCCTAAGACTAAAAATCTTAGAATTCCTCGAATTTAAGATTTTTCTAAGAATTTTCCCTTGGTAAGATAAAAGTTATTCACAAAGTATCTTAGGCCTTAAGAGAGCTCCTAAGGTGAAAAACTGTTAAGAGGAGGGAGGAGGACTTTTAAGAAGCCTAAGAGTGTCTTAAACAGAGAAGATGGCGGAAAGACAGAGAGGAAGGAGAGATATTCTCCGTATAGGCCTATTGAACGACGGTGATTTAATAAGACTCTACCAGCTTGATCATGCAGGGATAATGTTTGTGGTTGACCTCATCAGGGATGAGCTTACTTTTCCCACCCAGCATAGTAACGCAATAACGCCCGCTTTGGATTACAGCACGTACCAGCGCTTCTCACACTCATCGCTTGTGCGTAAAAGGAGAGGGAACGACGCATTGATTTGTCGGGCAATGCGCTCCCAATTCTACCTCTTCCCTTGTGCCGTGATCCCGGGACCGAATTTCCCTCTTAAAACTCCTTTGTTCTCCTGGACGAGCTGTGCCAACAGCAGGCACTGCTCTTCTGTCCAGTTCAGCTTTCTCGTTCTTTTTTTCTCCATTTCGTTCGTTGTTTTGGTCATTCTGCCAAATCAAACCGCTTTTTACAAGGAGGCCAGCAATCACAGTAATTGCTGACAGTTGAGTCTGCCTCCACCATTAATATCAAATAGATTAAATAGTAAAATTACCAGCATGGTAAGTAAACATAACAATAAGCAAATCAATATAATAATCGGCATGTGAATGAGGTACGTTCAAACATTTTGAATCTTTGTAACAATTAATTTAATTTTGCTGATTTTCATCATCATGACATAAAATTATTTTCACTATTACACATTTCTTAATACAGTCTAAGTTCTATGATCGGTTGATTTCACTGTCTATTCATTACTAGGAGCGCATTTGTTTTTCTTTTACTTTTTGTAACAACCAATTACAGCTTTTACAAGACTGCGTCATACCTAGCAACGGGGTCAACCACACCTCCTCACTAAGATAAAAGTTTCTGTCCCCTCCTTGCTCAGAGTTGCTCTCAGAAACTTCCTGAATCGCTCTTAAGCTAAGATTCCTTGCTAGGAATTTTTAGGCTAAGTTAGGAACTCCCTGAGAGTACTCTGAGAATCTTTGTGAATATGGACCCAGGTGTACAACACATTGCCAAAAAAACCCCAAACTATTTGGTGTTTAGATCAGCAAATAGTTTATCAACTAAATCACTAGCAGCAACATTTAACAACACAGATGTTGAAAAAAAGGAAGAACTATGATTCTTTCACGTTGTTTTCTCCAAAAGGACTGCAGAATATGCTGGCATATCTGGACTGATGATGCTCAGTCTCTTCATCTCTTACAGTTTTTTACAGTTGTTTACGCACTAAAATGAAAATTTTCACACAATTAACAGCTCTTTACACTCAAGAAGCAAAACACCTGTCCATAGTTGCACAACAATAAGCACAGACTCAGCTTCACACTTTTTGCAAAACATTACACACAGTGATTTTCAAAACTCTACACGCATTATCACACCTTAGACACAGATAAGGATTGTGAGGTTACTTCCTTCTCATTACAAAGCCCCTGCTTGCCAACAACCATACTAATGAACGAATTGGATAATCACATCCACCTGGTGTGGAAGCACACTGGTGCTTACTGTAAACCAAGTGGACCACATGCAGTACATTGTCATTTGGGACAATGTATTTTTCCATCGATCTGCTCTGGTCCACAATTGGTTCCATGAGCATCCTGAATTTGCAGTCTTATACCTTCCACCATACTCCCCATTCCTAAACCCAATAGAGGATTTTTTATTTGTCTACACTTTACAGTAGTAAGAAAAACTACTATTTTGTTCTGATTTTCATTGTTTGATTTTCATCTGTTACCGTAACTGAGTATGGTAAGAAATAAATATTTTCAGTCTGCAGCAGTCTGCAATCAGTGTTGTGTTTGTTTGTTGTATTTGTGTACTTTCTCTGTATACCTCAAAGTAATCATGAAGAATGTTGTGGGTTTGACAATATCTTTTTGTCATCTAAATTATCCCTTACATAAAAATGTCTGGCAAAAAAGTCTAGCACTAGACCAGCTATTTCCTAAAATAGGGGTTTTTACAAATGTATTTTGTATTGATCACTGTAGTGTGTAACTGACTGCAATAGTGTCTGATCATTTGAAGACTGTGTTAGTGAGATGAAAACAAAACAGCATTTTTATAAATATGTGTATATGTTTTGACTGAAGTGTATATGTTTCGACTGAAGTGTGTCATTTTGCAAACAATCTAGGGGTTATGCAAATTGAGTGTGGTGTTTGGATAACTGTGTGAATATTTTGAAAAAAGGAGCCCTGTTTTCAAAATTGCGCGTAAACAATTGAGAAAAACTGTAACAGTTTTACTCTTGCAGTCAACAGATGTGTCATACAACAGTTTCTGATCAGAATCGGACACCCTGCAAAGTTAATATCTCAGAAAAAAACATCACAGCAAACATATCAAATAGCAGATACACATCACCACATTGATTCCCCTGGACCAATGCAAGTCTTGGTAGGAATCTTTCACCAATTTGATTTTCTCATAGGTATTGAATCAGTATTATGTAATGGCTTTGCAGGAAGTCAGGGAGAACTGTCTCGAGTTTTTACCTTTTCTTTCACCGCCCTCTAGTGGCTTCTCAACCAGTAGAGCCTAAAAAAGCAAAATACACGGTGCTCAGCCTGGAAAACACCGAATGACGTTTGGTAAGTGCACCCATGGCTTTGTCATCACATTTTCGCAGCTTCAATTGTACCTCAAAATCGTTAATTAAGTGACAATGTTTTATTTATTACATTTTTATAAAATATTATCCATGCTTACCTGATAGCCTAGGGGGATAAGATCTGATAGGCCTAAAATAGATAACATAAAATATAAAATCCTATGTGAAAAACAGGATCAAGCCGAACTGTGCAAAGCAGTTGCAGGTGCTTTAGAGATTTATAATTATGCAAGTAATCTCGATTAGCTGCGAAAAGATGTTTTCTTTTTGTTTAACAAAATTCATCCACCAGAGCTATGTGGGTCTTTCTGTGGCATTTATGTAAATTGTTTTATAAAGTAGCCTATGAAAATGTGTGAAACCAATGACAAGGTGTTGAGACACTTTAAAAAAGACTTCTGCTTTGCCGAGAAGGTGATTATGAAGATCAAATGGATCCAAGTCTTATTGAGCGTGTCTTTTAGAGTGTCCCAAGAAAACTCTTTCTTTTCTGTATTTGCTATTCACTCAAATGATGCAAAAGGTATTCGGCAGTACGGCTTTTACTTTGGAGGTAAGACAGGAAGTAGCAGTGTCTTGTATCGAAGTTTACGTCAGTGTGCAGTTACAGTCGAAAAGTGTTGTTGACAGCGCAGGGAAACCACCACCTCCAGACTGCCTTCCGCTTTTACTTATCGGACATTGAAAGAGTGATCACAGACGAAGAGTGTTGGTAAGTCACGCAACATTTAATGTTATGACAAGAGATGTTTGTTAGTTTGTTAGCTGTTAGCTAACGTTACAAATTGTCAGGGAACACTGACCTGTAAGTATTAGGCCATTACAAGAAAAACAATTGTTAATATGAGCAACTAGCAGTCAGCTTTGTCAGAAAAGCAACAATGTCTGTTGTTTATCGGAGTAATACACCATGGTGTCAGAATTAAGTAACTTTAGCCAGAGTAAACTCTTCGTGGGTCAGTTTTGACCGTCTAAATTGGTAAACTCGACGGTTAGGCTATATTAGCTCAAAATTGGTAAAGTTAGCATGATAATAACGTAATTGACTCCATTATGATAATAGCGTGAAGGGAAAACATACCTGTCGTTTGCAATAGGAGTAGCCTATGTGTGAATGCTTCATTTATACTAATAATTGTAGGGAATACTGTTCTCTGTTTTTGGACAGTGACAATGCAGTCTGCAGAGGGTGAGACAGACACTCTACCTGGAGCTTTATAAGGACGACAGGATGATCTGTCTGCCTCTTGTCCTCTATCTCGTATTTCTTATATATTCTGGTGAGTAATCCAAGTTCAGTCAGAAAAAAAAATACATTTTACAGTAACATTTGTTGAATACCTCAGATACCATTCTCCACACCCACTCACTGTTGTCAAGCTGACAACTCATTAAAGTTCCCTGTCAGGTGTGTCTTTGTACCTTGTGCTGTCTCCGTAGTTGTGTTTGAGTCAGACTGCATCACGTGTTAACTTATTCCCATAGTGCTTGGTTCCCTTCCTGCTCCAGTCAACCTTTCTGTCAGCTCTGACAATTTCCACCATGTCCTGCGTTGGGATCCTGGGCCCAGCACCCCTCCAGGAACACAGTATAAGGTCATCAGGAGGTAATTTCCCTGTCCACCATCTTGTTGGTTGCTCTCATTTCCTGACACACATGGCCTAATGACACTGACTAATGCCAGTTTGTCTTTAGGTAGGAGAAAATGTCCTATCAGACTGTAATCTGAAGATTCAATATTCATCACTTGAGCTCCAGTGTTTCTTTGGGCTGGGTATCGTACCTTAACTATTTTCTTTGGTAAGCTGTCAAGCACCCAAAGGTGGCATGGGATGCCAGGTTAAACTCATAATTAAATTATACTCACCATCAAGATTACATTACAAATTTAGCCAACTGCTGACTGTTTTTCTTTTCAAGTCTAAAGTTCTTGTACAGTTGCTTATATGTAAAGTTTGGCTTATTTTTTTATTAAAACATTTCTTTATTATCATTTCAGAAAGAGTTATCAAGGCAAAGCAGCAAAATAACAGTAAACAATAACAAACACACTATTTTAATTTTCAATTTAATTTATTTATCTAACTAAAAAACACAATAATATTGGTAATAACAATAATAAATGTTAGATACCCTCTGAAAGTTAAGTAGCCTATGTCACAGTTACCTAAAGTAAGCCTAGATAATTAGATATTTCACTTCCCTATCTTCCCGGAAGATTTTTTTTTGTTGTTGTTGTTGTTGTTGTTTTGGTTTTTTTGGACAAAAGAAAAAAAACACTGTTGTGATATCATTAAGTTGGGCAGCATGTTGACACTAGTATTGAAAAAAGTTGTTGTTTTTTGTCCCCAAAAAGCAGCTTCATATTTGCTATTTTTTATTCCATAATTTATGGTAACTTCACATATATATACTCTGTCTACTTGTTCTGTTTCATCAGAGCATTAATTGTTGTGCAACTGAGAAAGAAAGCTTTAGTTTTTGTTGAGCACTATTACTTTAAAACTGCACTTGTCTTTTGAATCATTTCAGACTAACTCTACAACATGACACATTTGATTTGTTTGGAAACTTCCACAAAGGAGTTTTGGTTATCTGTTCTTTGTATTTACTTAGAACATAGAACATATAATGTTTGTGTTTGTTCTTATTAAACAAACACAAATAATGTTTGTGTTTGGTTAACACCACTATGTGTCATTTTATGAAGACCTTACATTTTGGCTCATTACTATGAGCTGTAGGAAAACATTTTTCCTCAATTTCATGGTTCACGCCATATCATTTCATAATGATCCTGCCATCTGTCTGCCTGTCTGTCATTAAGAATTTTCCCTCCTTTCTCCAAATTTCATCCTACCTTCACCAGATCTGCCAGATAAAACATGTTTTCAGTATATTTTGAATTGCTTTTATTTTATACCCTTAATTAAAGTAATTTAAAGTGTTGTCATATTTGGGAACATTTAGATGTGCACAATGTTGGGAATTACAATAGTAGGCCTCATGGGTGGACACCAAAAATGTTGGGAACAATACTGGGCATCACACGGAGGCACCAAAAATGTAGGGAATCTACTAGATGGGGGATACTTTTTGTTTGGAGTCTATAACAATACTATGTGTCACTCGGGGACACCCAAAATGTTGTGATCAAGGCGCCAGTGCTAGGTTTACATGGCGGGCAGCACAGTTTGTTGGGACTTGAGCCTTAACACAGGCCTGACCTCTAAATAGATCTCCAATTAAAGTATCAAATTGGCTATCTGAAATAATTAAGAATTATTAATAATAATTCTTAATTATGTGAAATAATGTGACTTTATTTACATTGAATCGCCTCGTGGGGCACCATTTCCGAAAAGGGAAAAATGATAGCCAGTTAAATATATCAGTCTCATAAAGTTTACAAAACTATCAATAATATATTTTTGCTTATTAAATTAATAACTATAACCAAAATTACTATATTAATAGTAAAGGCTTAAGGATTTCAGAGTTCTTTACGTAGCAGAGGTTGAGTTTTAATTCACCTTAGTGCAGTATTAAACAGACAGCAAATTCTAACTAACTATATACAAGCAAGTGTGTGTGTGTGTGTGTGTGTGTGTGTGTGTATGTGAGAGAGAGAGAGAGAGAGAGAGAGAGAGCGAGAGCAAGAGAGACAGACAATCAGACAGGCAGACAGACAGACAAAGACAGGTGTGTGAAACAAAGGGCCATTTGGCTGAGATGGAGATGGCTGAATCAAAGCTGGTTTCAGATCGAGGGAGGTGTCTGTCTGACCGTGTGGTCAGGACAAAGACAAAGGAAAAGAAGCGGAGCTTTGAGCTGCCTCTTTGGGTGTAGCTCTGTTGAAAACAAATTTGTAGATGAGTCTATGTGAATGTGATATGTGTTGCAAAGGGTTTGGATTAATGCAGAGGATGTTTAGTTGCATGCAAGACGTTGTCTGTGAACAGCATTAGCAAACTAACATCACTTAGCTTTGGCGAAGCCAAGTAACCAATAACCTAACTGCAATAATCACGACAGTGACTCAGTAAACAGCATTACACCACATTCAACAAGTTAAACAGTCTTGCTTAGCCTGTGTAGCTGTGATAAAGCTATGCCTAGTTGTTACATTACCAGTCCTTGAATGGATGTAAGAAAGAGTTGGTTTGAGGTGTGCTGCTTTTGTTAGCCGGCAGAGGAAGGCTGGAAAGAGCTGTGGTTCCAGAAGCAGTCTTTGTTGTGTCCTTGTTCCAAAGGTGCAGATTTGAGGAAGCACACACATCCACACCGACGCAACACTGTAACCGGCGAACAGCCAAGCGGCCGCGGTGGAAACTAAGTAAAGAAAACTCGAAAATGACTTGAGTTGATGGCAGCTACTAAGTGACATTAATCCTTTGCGAGTAAGAAGCCAATACTTTATCAATGCATGTGTTCAGCAAGTATGAACATGTAAACATGTAGACAGCGGTATTCAATATGCTCTGTCCATAGTCTCTCATCCACCGACACTAACATTATGTCTTACACAAGGACCGCACGCTAGTTCAGCTGATAGCGAATTGTTACTAATAAGCTCAAATGACAGCTGTCTGTATGTAGACTAACTTAGTTTGACACTTATCATAAAATTCTTTTAACCCTATGGGCCCGAACGACGCATTGTGCATCCAAATTCACACCTGTTCTTCTCTATGAATTTTCTCCGCGACCGTGCGTCATAGAGAGAAGCCATCACGTGAAACAGTGGAACTGTAGCTTTCCGACAAGACCAAGCACTTATCGGTAGTCCAATGTTTTCACAGCAAAAAAAAAAAAAAAAAGATAAAATTATAGCTGCTGTGCAGCAATGGTCGGGGCCGGGCAATTTTAGGCAAAATTAGTCAATTCTGAGCAACACACACACTAAAACAAAGCATATCATAACATAGAAGTTACATCAAATAATTATGGCATGCCCTTCAAATTGTGGATGAGTGGCTGAAGTGATCAGACTCATAATATACAAAGGAAAGAAAAAACTCAAGAACAAGAAAGTAAGAATAACATTAACTGCCAGCAATTATGACCAAACTGGCCTGATCTAGCTTAAAGCTAAACATTATCCATGGTGACAAAGACGAAAACATTTTTTAAAATTTAAAAGTAGCTATTGGATAGACTCTGCATATTGACTGATAGCTAAGCCAAATAAACAGGGAAAAGAGACAAGGGATAACAGGGAAAAGTGTTGATAAAGAGTATTTGTCTCTCCGCGAAACTGCCTGGATCATAATTATTTTAACCTTAGTAGTCTCTAACTGACTTAGCTTGATGCCTGAATATAGGACTTTCACATTAGAATGTCCGCTCTGCCTTAGCTGAGGCTTGAACTCACAACTTCTGAGACTGAGGTCCGTCTTCTATCTCACTGAGCTAATTGGCAAGTGACAGTTCATGTGTGGCTTCACAAATTGACTAAGCCCAGCATCAGGGTGCCAGACAGTAGCCATCCATGCCATGGAAAAGCTTTCCATTTCACTTTCAAAGTGAAAGTTCCAAAGCTGTAGCACATATGGTTGATTTGTTATGAATTTTCAAAGTTTTGAAATTTAGAGGCTTGCTGTAGCGCCATCATCAGGACTATTGTCTTGTGTTTCCAGTTGAGGACATCTGGCATGGGACTGGACCTTTATGAAAAGTTTAGGTAGATTTCTCATATGGAAATGTTGCACGAGCTAAGGCTTGAACTCACAATCTTCAACATCAAGAACCATCCTCTATCTCACTGAGCTAATTGGCAAACGGAAATGTCACATGTAGCTTCACAAATTGACTAAGCCAGTCACCTGTGTGCAAGACAGCAGCTGTTAGTGTGTAAAGGCAGATTTCAAATGGCTGTCAAAAATTCAGTTATCTGTTGCTTAGTAGAAATAAAGGCAACAGCAGATTTCTGTAATTTATTGTGGGATTGCCACTATATTCTTCTGCACATATTCATTTGATTTATTGTCAGGGGTGGTCCTATACCTTTGGGGTACCTAAGCAGATTTGGTTTTGGGCCCCCCCTTACTGTCACATGTTGTCTTTCACACAGCACTGAACCAGCTTGTGTATTATTAGTTCAGTCTCACATAATATACAAACAAGCATGTAAATATATAAGTGGGACCTATTAATAGTAGACAGTAGATACATTTGTCTATTACCTACTAACCTCATGAACAGTCCTTCTTAAGACCCTTTGCTTGACCTAGTTTAAGTTTAATGCACATTTTAGTGTTGTAGTCCAATTGAAAATGGTTGAGTCTCACCTGTCTTAATGTGTAAGATATCTGAATAAAGGATATGACATGACCAAAAGAATATGATGCACAAGACAATCATTACAAATATCATATAATATTTTGTAAGGTCTGGTACAGCAATCAAATGAGGAAGACAGACAAAATAAGCACTGTACAAATAGAATATTAGCATAAAATTGTCCAAGAAAAGGGCAACATTTCTAGTAACATGGCATTTTACATTATATAAATTAGCCTAGTGATGAGCGAAGATTTCCTCTGCTCATATGAAGCCAGGATAAATCCCCAAGTATAAATCTCACACAATATTTAAAATGCTATT